TTTATGCCTTGAATATAAATAAAATGATTTCATAAGTCAATAAATATATTCACAATATGATTGTATTGTATTGTATCATGGACAAGAACATGTATTGAATAAACCAGACAAATAAAATTACACGATTCTTTTCAGTTATTCAACGAATGTGAAGCATAAGAATGTTTTGTTATCTCTGAATTTGACTCATGTTAACAAGGAAACAAAAGTATATGAATACTATTGTAATCTAAACAAATTATAAAACAGGAAATTTCACATCAAAAGTAAATATTTATAAAAAATACCTAATATTTCATTAGACTATGTAAAAAAAACAAAACTTGAATATTATTAAAATAAATCAAAGAAATAATCAAATCCTTGTCCACCATCCCAAATAGCTATTCCAACATTGAGTTTTATTGCTAATTCTAAACGATCATATATTGATTTTAAACTTGGATAAAATAAGACTATTTGTGGTAACAACTGTGCTTTTCCATTTATATTCGTTTCCGAACGAGCATGAACTACAGTAATATGTTCATGTGCACGTTCATCAAAATGAATTTTAGCTGATGGAAAATACTGCTTAAGAAATTCAATATAATCACGACCAAGAATATGTTTCATTTCAAATTGTTGTTGTTCTTTTGCTGGTGGTGGCATAATACGATCATAACGATAACCATATAAATGTATACCGAGAAATATTTTCACTGAAGTACCAGTTTTAGATGAAGGAAATCTATCCATGACTTCCTGTACCCATACTATTAAAGAAGAAATATATTGGTTGTTTTTTATATATAAATATATAACATTTGATGATGTTATTGAAACCCTCTAAGTTGTTTTTTTGAAGTCTGCAAATTTAATTCTCTTTAGAAACATTTCGACTCTTGTTTTTATAAGAAGCACTATCGCTCTAAGTAATGGAGAACAGCTGATCATTTTCATCTATTTGGAGAAGAAAATGACGTGCGAAGATATTCTCTGTGATGAAATTCGAAAAATTCAGTGCCCTATTTTTTCTCTGATAAAGAAAATTTTTCTTGTAAATAATATGTTTGAATTAAAACTCATACTTATTGGTGAAACTGGTCCTGGTTGTCTTCCTGAAAAATCATATGTCATTATATGAAAACCATCTAAATGTTTTGATAAGAGATTAAAATCATCTCGATTCAGATATTCTTCTAAAGGTGGAACAGCTAAAATAATTTCTTTTCGTCTTGCTGTATTATCTATTTCATGTATATGATGAGCAATATCAATAAGTATATGATGAAGTATTTCTTTTGCTGACGCATGGAATTGTGAAAGTAATTCAAAAACATAACCATCAAATAATTCATCATATTTAATTAGAAAATTTTTTAATGCTAATGCTAATTGTTGTTTTTCATCTTCAGATTCAAATAATGCATGAACATCACCAGAAGTCCATTTTTCGAATGCAACTCGAGGTACAATACGTACATCAGAATTTTTTTCTTTTAAAAATTTAACCCATTCCGAATCAATATCATGTGTACCGTCAATACGATATTTTTTATAACCAATTCGTTTTACATTAAACCAAACAGGAGAAATATAATCAAATTTCTGTGCGAAAATTTTAGCAACATCATAACCATGATTATTCCATGGAGTTATAAAAATAAGAGTAGGATTAGAAAATTGTCGGACATCAGTACAACTAGAACAATAGGATTGATAATTTCCAAGAATTGATGCAGGTGTAAGATCTTCTTCTAATAAACCACGTTCGAAAATATTTTTGTTTGGTAATTGAGAAGATTCTTGTGATTTAAAACGCGATACTGTCGGCTGTTCATCATCCGTAGAAGCAGATAAAACAATTTGGTCGCGATTTTTTGATGAGGATTTATGACCACCAGGACCAATCGTTGATTCGATTGGATATAAAATACATAAGTTTACGAATAATATCAAATAATATTTCATCTAAAATTTCATTACATATCAATGTATCGATTTTGTTCTCTATAAAATATAGTCTGTGACTCATCAAAAGATTCTTAATATCTTTAAAAAATCTGATAGTTTACATGAACTAGATTTTTTTCGTATCCAATATTTCATTTTGTCATTAAAATTAAAGATTCATTAGTAATACACATTGTTCACTTCAATGAATTGATTTCCGTTTAGTCTTTAGAAATAGAAATCAAATTTTCTTCTAATCATATAATACTAAGAAATCGAACTTCTATTCATATAAATTCTATTAGACCTTATTTTCTATTTGTCATAATTCCCAAGCTCTTCATACAAATCTAATCATCAGAAAATCTACTTACCAAACTCGTTGTTATATAGGGGGAGAGGGTAGCTGACATGAATAAATCTATCAATTCATCTAACGACTTTTTATTTATGAATATTGTTTTTTCGAAAAAGCCTCAGATAATTTCATTTCTTTTTTCTAAAAAATACAACATTCACACACAGAATGCAAAAAGAAAAAGAGAGAAGAGAAGAATACACACTTTTTTCTCACAAGTAAATATTGTCTTTTTGCAAGAATAAAGTTTGTGTACATTAAAAGACAGAAAAAAATGAAACAAACAAAAAACAGAGTATTTTGTAAAATAAAAAGCGAAAAGTAAAGACAATTAACAATCAGAACGAACGAAAGAAAGTAAGAGAAAAAAAAAGAGTCGATACAACAAGTTTCTCTGTTTTTGTTTTGTCAAGGATTAGCACCGTTTACATTTATGCATTTAATGGTGTTGGTAATGATGGATTTTGAAGAAAATTCAGTCTATGTTTTTGTGCGCGAGAATCGACAACCTGAAAATCAAAAATTTTCATAAATATAAATGTTAAGAATATCTTGGGATGCGCAGTTTCAGTGCAAATATTGTAAAACTGTCACTGTAGCACTGACTTTACTGACAGTGAATACACCACAGCACTGTGGGTACTGAAGCACCGACTTTTACTGACATACATGAGCCTAGGAAGTCAGTATAAAGCGGTTTAAGTCGGCGCAACAGTGCTGCGTTGCACCCACTGTCAGTGAATTCAGTGCTTCAGTGACCAACTGACGGTGCTACCAGTATTCAGTAAATTGAAACTGCGCATCTCTAAGAATATCTATTCATACTAATTTTTGTAATTCAGATAATTCCATAGTCAAAGATTTTATAGCTTTATTAGCATCATCCATTTGAAGTTTTAATATTCTACTATCTTGATCTTCTTTACTTTTATCTTCTTGAATATCCAAACTACTTGTACGCATTCGTGGAAACCAATCGAGATTTCGTTGCTAAAAATAAAACAATTTGATTCATGTTCTTTTTTACTCTAATTAAAATAAACAAACTTCAATCATCTCATGAACATAACTTTCCGGACCAGTATATTCAGTTGAATCTTTCACGTTAATTAAAACCATAAAATAAACATAATTCCACATATTATGAACTTTACGAATATGATCTTCAAATGTCACATGTTTATTATCGAATGATTTACGATCAAGTCCTATAAATAAATAAGAAATAATTACAATGAATTATTTCGTTTTTT